CCCTCAGGGTGCTACTCGATGAGAAATTTTGTTTCTAAAGACAATTATGTTACTTGATTTAAACATATACCTAAACTAAGTCAGATTTTATCTACTTAAGGGAAAGATTCTGGGGAAAACATACACTTATTCCAGAATAAAAGATAAAGATATTTAAGCTCTCCTTTCATTTTATTTTATAAAGACTAATTTGAGTCTCAAAGCTGCACAGCTAGTCACATACCTTCCATTAGAAACCAGGGCTCTTGACTTTTTACCTGGTGCATTATATGCCACACTGCTCTACCCGCTTCACGCAAGCGTGTCCGTGATAATACAAGCAGTGATGTGATGGCAAACACGTTATCCGGCATGCTGCCAGACTCTTGACCTCCTCCCCTTTCAGATTGCCTTAACAACTCTGCAGAGGAGGCATTGCCTTTATTTTACAGGAGAGGAAACATATTAAAGAATGTGTGCAAGACCATCCGCCTCCTATCCGGCAGGGCTTGGACTCCTGTCCATAACTGACTGACTCCAGAGCTTGTGCTCTTCGTGCCATGTGGTTGTCTGACTGTTAGCTAGCTCACCGTTTCCTCCAAGGCACCCTAACCCTAACGCATCTTGTTTCTTTAGGTCCTGTTTACCTTATGTGTCAGCATGTTCTTCTGTGTATAGTAAATGTGTATGCATGAACTTACACCCAGATTTGAAAAGCATATTTTTATTTCCAGAGCGCCCTTATGCCTGCACAGTTATTCTTTAAGACGGAAGATGGAGGCAAATATCCAGTTATATTTAAGCACGGGGATGATTTGCGCCAAGATCAACTAATTCTTCAAATTATTTCACTCATGGACAAGGTGAACATAACCTTATGTTGGTAGGGAACATTATTTCATTTTAGAAAACTGTAGTTTAGTGCATTTGCCGTATATGGACACAGGGTGTTTCTGTAACATTCAGGCATAATCTGGAAAGCTCAGCAGTGTCCACTTGACCTTGAACAAATTTGCTTATTTGTGTATGCTCCAGAACGGCTCTTCAAAATGAAACGGCATGTGTTCTTTTTTGTAAACATTTTTTTCTCAATGAAGTTCTCTTTGTGTTGGATTTAGTAATTTTCTTCCTTCTTAGTCAACTAGATCTTCTCTTTTTAAAAATTCCATCCCTGTCCCTAACTTTTAAAGGAAGATATTTGCCCTCATTTCCTTTTTTCTGAGTTCTCAAGTACTTTATGACCAGAAAAGAAAAACTGCATACATCAGTAAGAAGGAACCCCACTGTTGATTGCAAGCTACTGACAGTGATTTAGACTAAGACAAAAAATTTAGCATACCATCAAGTAAGTGCTTAATAAATTTGATGATGAAAGCTAAATTACCCAATTAATTTAGTTAAACCTTAATATAGGGTCACCTCCTGAATCGCCTAAATTAAACTGCTATAATACTCGCCTGAAAAACTGTTTCATAACAATCTTTACATTTGATTAATATATTTTATCTTTTGGTCACAAGCTGCTACGGAAAGAAAATCTGGATTTGAAGCTAACACCCTATAAAGTATTAGCCACTAGTACAAAACATGGTAAGTTTTCTTTACATCATGATTGCTTATTTTACTGTCCAGAGAGTATACTTTTGCTTTTTTAATTGAATGTTGTTTAAGAATATTAGAGATTGAACTCATGTGTGGCACTGAAGACCAGTTGAGCCTGCCTGCCCCTCCCTCTCTCCCTTTTGAAATCATTAAACACAATTTTTGGAAGAAAGAGTAAAACCTTTATGATGTATTTCTTTGCATTCAAAACTGGTTATAATCCATAATAGTTTCTCACTGTGTCCTAAATCATTTTAGAAATAACTGCGACCAGAGTGGCCTTGTACCGTGCTCTGCTTATAAAAGCCATTCATTAATTTTTTAAATATAGATCTATAGCATCCAAGTCCTTCTGAGATTGAATAGCCTCTGGAAGTTTGGTGGAAGATGCGCTAGGAATGCTAGCCTAATGCTTGCTGTAAATTCCATAGCCTTGCCTCTCTTGGCGCTTCTTATCCTTAGATACCTTGGAGAAACAAAAGCACTATATTTTGCCATTCACTTTTTTGCGCAAATTTGAGAGGGAAGAATAAGGATGTGCATTATACATGGGTAGTACTAGTTCCATATCTATTATATATAAATGTTTTTAATTCTTTTATTTATGCTTATGAGTTAAAAGTGTAACTCTAGAAATCAATAACGGTATTATCCATTTGCAAAATACCATGGAATATGAAAATCGGGTTTGTTGAATTTACGATGAACTTCAACAGAGTTGTAGGCCTTCTGTGATGCATTAATATCATAAATTTGTTACTGGTACATAAACTTTCTTATACCTTGTACCTGTTCTTGTATTTTGTAATTGTTTGTTACATAAAATGTCTTATACCATAAAATGTTAAAAAATAAATGCTAAGATTCCTTTATAATACAAAAAACAAGTACCTGAGTGTAAACAAATAAAAAATTTGAATTAAAAAATCAAAACGAAAGTTTTTTTCCCAGAAAGTTTGGGCCAAAAACGTAGGCGTGTGTTGCATTGTACATGGGAGCACGTTATCCGGGACAAACTACTATATGTCTTTTAGGTTTCCTGCCCTTCCCCTGGTCACTCCCAAATCTTTTTGATGGCTTAATTTCTCCTCTCATTTTCCTCTCAGAATGATCTTGTTAAAAGTACAAATATGCTCTTTGACCATCCTGTATAAATTGATTTACTGGCTTTCATTTGCTGTTGGGACAAAAGCAAAAGCCTTAGCTTAGTTTACAAGTTCTGTCAGTGTGACACTGACCCTGTCAGTGACCTCCCTCCCCCACCCCCCACCCCCTTCGGAAGCCCCTCTGTTCCCACCCTGCCACTTGCTTCCTAGGCTTCAGCCGCACTGGCCAGCTTCCGTGTTCTCGAATGCACGTGCTCTTATCAGCCTTACGGCCTTCACATATGCTGTGTGCGTTATCTTTATCATTCATTTCTGTTACCTTTCATTATCCTTCAAAACATGGCTCAAATTGTCGGATGCCCTCTCACTTCTATTTTAATTTAGGTCTCCCTACACTGTTCCCTTTCATAGTGTTTATCCCAATAAAACTTGCAAGCTTGTACACTCTATGAAGGCAAGGTCAAGGCTCTAGTTTTTACCTGGCATAGTTCTTGCTACATAGTAGAAAAACAATATAAATCTTAGGTGAATTAATGAAGACTATTCCCTGTTTATGATATAAGAATGACTGAGACGTTTCATACTCAAAAGGAGTATCCCGTCTCCTAATTTGCATGCAAATAATGTCACTGAAACCAGATTACAATTGTTTATGATCCTGAAATAGGTGTCTTCATTCAACTTTGATTTTTTTCATAGATTTGTTGTTTTATACTCCTGTTGTTGTTCTCAGACTGATTAGACTTAAGTTTTTTTTCCTTCATGTTCTCAATTCGATCTCCTTCCCCTTCTTTTTGGTCATTTAAAGGATTTATACTTTCTTCTCATATCGTTTCCAGGAAATGGCAGAAGATGGAGTATAAAACACAAAAGCTAATGAACATAGTACAGTTTTAGGGTTATGCAATTGGTATTATACAGCTTCGGATTTCTTAAAGTGATTTAAATTTGGAATGGAATATTTTTAATGGATATGTTTAAAAAAAAACTACAGAACACAGGAAGAAGAAATGTTTATGCCAGGTTTAAGAAGCTTGGTCTATTACTTTGTGTTCCTTATATACAATAATAGAAATTGGCCTAGAGGAACGTACAGATTAGATTAGCTTAATTAAAAAAAAAAAGGCTTCCTTGTAGTTCCTATGACATAAAAGCCAGTATAAACTTAAAGAGTGTTTACAGACCTCTTTAAGTTGTTCAGGTGGGTAGTGTATACATTTGCAAATGAAAGTTATTCTTAGCAGAAGCTTTATTTTTATTGCTTAACTAGTAACTATGCTTAATGCAATGCGTGTATTTCTATGTAGGGTTCATGCAGTTCATCCAGTCAGTTCCAGTTGCTGAAGTCCTTGATACAGAAGGAAGCATTCAGGTACAGCATCTATTTTGAAGATTTATACAGTTCATGAATATATTCTTGCTATAAAATGTTCAATCTTTATAAAAGTGTATAGAGTTAAAAATTAAAGTCTCTTTTTAGTCACCCTTCTTCCTTCAAGTTTTTTTCCTTTCCTTAGAAGGAAACAACAGTTGGAAATTATCCTGTGTTAGTACTGAGAGATGCTCAGTTCCTTAAACTGTACCTGGCACAGAATAGGAGATCAGGAATTAATTGGTGAACACATTTAAAAAGTTTATGGTTATATTTCAAAGAATGAAATATTGTAATTTCACCATTAATGAACATTTTGATCTCTTCCAATTTTTGTTGTTATTCAGAATAGTACTGCAGTGAAATTCTTGCTCATGCGTGTTTTGCACAATTATTTTTTTAAGATCGCTACTCTCCTCCTCCAACCTCTTTGTTCTGCTTTAATACCAAGAAAGACAAGTGGTTTCTGGACTAAGCTGTGTATATGCTTGGAACTTTTTTTTTTATATTTTAAATACATAGATTAGTTCTCTATGTATTAGAGAACTAATTATTAGACTCAGGAATCTGAGTCTAATGCTATA